AGGAGAGGAGCCGAGCTGATGAATTACCTTTGGCTATGGGAAAGCACTGCTGCCTTCTGTTCTGAAGGGAAGGGGGCACGTCTCCAGCTTACCCCCCTCAGCAGCCCACTGTTGTGACAGGACTAGGGGTTAAGTTTCTCAAGAGGAAATAGGGAGTCATAAAACTCATCCCACAGTCGAGTTGGAAAACCTCAGTCTCGCACATGCTATTCTTCATGTCTGCTCGTTTTTCCTCCCTTTCCTTACAAACCAAGAAGAGCTGAATGCCCTTAAATCTCCTTCTGCAGTACTACTTACAGCTCCATTGTACATACTCTGTTTTCAACCACGTGGCCTGATATTCTTAACTGATAAAATTATGGAAGGATCCACCCCATTTCTCCACGCCCCTCAGAACCCCGTTACCCATCTCTCGCACTTTGGTTGTTTCTGTACATGGTGCAACACAACACACGAGTCACACCGCAGTCCCAATACTGCAACTTCTGCTTTTGCCAGCCAACACTTTCTGTACCAGCCCTAAAAATTCCACTGGATTTTGTAGTGGATGTAAAGTTCATCTGTAGTTCATCCGTTAAGTTCATCTGTAAAACAGATGAACGGTTTTACTGGGCTTTAATAATTCAGAGTTCCTACCAGTGAGCCAGCAGAATGCTACACTTGAGCAAAGACCATCCGGTACATTACTGCGGGGCCTTACCTTCAGAAATGACCATTTCCTGGTGCTTCTGCAGGGTGAGCAGTATTTTACAATGCAGCTGATGCTGCATTTACAAAGGAGCAATCCTTTGTAGGTCTCCTTCAGCTGCACCAGAAAAAAACACCTAATGCAATCTTTCTGCAAATAATCATCTGTATTTGTTATATCCCGTACATTCATTTACGTGCAAAATAAACCGTGAAGCTCTCAAAGCTCCAAGTTGGGTCTGCACTATTTTTCACCTGAGTGAAAAGCTGATTGATCAAGTGGACCAACAGACATTGGAGCTCTCGAACTAGGTGCAAAAGGTGCCTGATCATGATGCTGGGCCTGATCTGCCCCACTGGACTCAGGTATTCTCACTTTGCTGCCAATATCTGATGTAGACCTGTGCATTAAGAAAGAAAAAAATAAAAACATTTGTCATTCTGAGGGACAAATGAAATTCATAGCCACATACATGCCTATCAGCTACAGTATGACAAGCCAGCTAGGAACGAGCTATCTGATTTTCCTCTGGCATGACAGAAATTTGGAGAACAACTGGAGAACACTAAGTCTGGAGAAGTGTGAGAACTAAGAAGTCCTTAGCCTGGTTGCTACTTTGCCAAAGCATGTTATTACCATTGCATAGAGCCTTTGCTTGCTGCTTCAAACAAATGCCTGTGACATGCAACACAAAAAACAGAGCTTTACAATAGTTCATCAACACGTGACTGTAGACAATACCATATGACTACAGTATATGTGACATGGTATCACACAGTCGGAGACTACTACAGCAAGTTAACTGCATTTGGGAAGTACTAACATCTTTTGAGATGTTGTGTCCCGGTTGCTTTAGAGATAAAATGTAATGGATGAACAAGAATACACTGATAGAGAGTGTCCATATCCTGAATGCTACCGTATCATTAGCGGCCACTCGGAGAAGTTTCCTTTGGCCTCAGTGTTCCACAGCAGCTCTCAGCAAGCCTGCGGTGCCTCGAATTGCAGTTGGCACCAGGCGGTACCTAACAGCACAGCACTGAAGGCTAAATCAGTTCATCCACCACAGAAGTGTAAAAATCCCTTGAAATGCATTTTATAGAGTGCCTTACTGTGAGGAAGAGGCAAAATGTATGGGCTGAGCTAAGGCAATCAGGCTTTTGCAGGTATTTGGCTTCAGAAACACAAGTATGAGATATCTGAAAGCTAGGCAGAAATCCCCGGACCCGCGGTACTGAGAAACATCTTACAATTCATCCATATCCTGTTGCAAGTCCTTACAACAGAGAAAAGCAGGGAGACTGACAGGGCGAATTACCTACCACACATCTGCAGTACAATACGCCATTATGTGAGTCGAGGAAAGCATGTTTTAAAAGAAATCAGAGCCTGGATTTCCTAATTTTATTGAAACTGATTAGCGAATAGAAGAGAAAATTCATTGTTATTCTTTTCCTCTTCACGTTAAAATGAAATAAACCCAACATGTTTCTAATTTCGTGAATGTGTCTTTTAAGTGCCTTGTAAGTGCCCCCTTCAGGGTTTGCCCAGTTCTTATTACAACAGTGTTTTTCAGAGGTCATACCTAAAATAAAACAACAGATAAATACCTCCTGAGAGAGGCAACAGCCACAGGACCTGTTCTGGGAGGGACAGGAGGAGGAGGAGAACCCATTACCATCTCAGGAAGCTGAGAAAATCTGTAAGCCTGTAAAGGAGAAAAACAAGTATTTTCTGAAACACTAATAGATCTCAGTCAAATTAAAAACAAAAAGGAATTCAGAAATTAAATACCTGCCTTGTGTGCCGGCCAACAGGAAGTTAACTTTTTGTGGCATCAATAGTAATTGCTTTTTATTTGAGAATTTACAGTGCTTGGGTGATTTTTAGGATGTGGAAGAAAACATGAACAAATGAGTTCAGAGCTAAAATGAAGACTAATTAAAATAAAAGCTATTAAACACTGTCCCTGTGACATTTGTAACCTTGCTGGCAAAGCAGATCTGTTATGATTACGTGAGATTCAGTAGCTGCTTCGGACCCACAGGAAAAAGATCTCCGTATTTTCACTTCCTCCATAAACAAAGTATTTTAAAGATTCAGAAAGCATCCTCAGAGCAGCATCTAGTGAAGTGAGGATGCCTGCGAGCAATGCATATTTCAACCTCTTCCTTTCAGTCTTGAAGAGATGAAAAGAAAATTCTTCACAAAAACCCCAAGCTCTGTAACTTTCTAAAGCAATAACAAAAGTCTCAAAGAGTTCTGAAAAAGCAGAGTAATTCAGAGGAACACAGGACCAACCCACTAAGTCACAACATTAAGCATCTTGCCCATAGTAATTCTGGATTTCATCACTGATACATGTGAAGGATGAGTAATCATGTGCATGAAACCCATGGCATCCAAGAAATTAGATGTAGGACAAAATTTCTCTCCTAAATTCTTTGTAATGCTATAGGTTAGAGGTTATATTTTTGCTAAATATACTTAAAGACAGAGGGATGATAATGATACCTCTCTAGCATTTCATTGACACTTTTTTTTTCAACACGTGGTTTTGGGTGGTTTTCTTTTAATTATGCTTTTATTGACGAGGCTTCAGAGCAACGCACAGGATTAAAGAGAAGATCAAAACAATAGCAAATAACACATTACAGGGAGGCTGTCTGGTATTAAGACACAGGCATTTTCACAGAAACTAGAGTCCAAAGTCCAATGGTGGGACTTTGGCCCGCTAAACAAGAGGTATCTGGTTTTGCCAGAGAAGCTCCCTCCGCAACAGCAGAGAAAGCTAAAAGCACGTTACCATGGGATAAGTCACTCTCTGGCTCCTGCCTGCAGAAAGAGCTACAGGATTTACATGATTGGCTCCGACGCAACACCTACATTTAGGTTTGATTTTGACAAGATAAATCCCACACTAAATATCAAAAACCACTCTCTCAGTGATCATCTTTTAAAATGACACATTTAGATAGTATTCCAATACTTTCTTTCTCAAACAGCTCAAAACTGGGTTAACACAGAGGGAAGGTAAATTATCAAATACTGACTTTTGATGTCAGTGCCTCTAAGGGAAAAGCAATACAGACCAAGCATCTTTCTCCCACCTCTACTGCCACCCCTTTTAAAGCAGGGTAGAGCCCCTCAAAGGCATGTCTTATGAAAACCTTTTTCCCTTTCACACCACCCACAAAGTCTCCTAGTATTTACTTTCACCATGCTACAATGGTATTTAAAGTATTTCCATATTTAGGGGGGGAAAAAAAAAATCTAAGGCGGCAATGGTACATTTCTTAGCCAGCAGTTGGCAATACTGATTTTTAATGAAAGAACTGTATAGAAAAAACAAATGCTAGTCGCATCAAAGAAAACCTCAATTAGATTTCTCCTAATAGTGCTGGACTTGAAACGGTCCACAATGCCCCTTCTGCATCTGAAAAGCCCGCAGTGCTCTCACAGACGGAACCGAACGCTTCCTTCGGGCTCCACAAGCCTTTCATCCCACATCTTCCTCTCAGCATGCATTTGTACTAAGTATGAAATTCTTTCCCCCCCCTCTATTTTAAAGGAACAGCACATGAGCTAACGTTTCAGAGTGTTCAGTGACTCCAGAGACTGTTTGAGTATAACACGGTGGACAGAGACACAGAGGTAGGTTTGGGTTTGCTCTTGTGTGTTAGTGCATGTGCTTTGGAATACAGACATCAAAGGAGGCATTTTGTGGGATCACAAAAATTTTTTGGGGAAAAAAGTAAAATAGAAAATCGAAGCACTTATTTTGCTGCTTACATAGGAGATGAACAATTAGGAGTGAGCGGCAATATTTTGCTAATGGCTGGCCAGAGGAAATCCTGTTAAAATGAAAAATCCTGTTACGAGATCTGCTACACCATGCCAAGGAACAGTCTGTCCTGGGGGACAGCAGTCAGTCCTCTTTGTGCTGAACTTCCATAGACACCAAAACCATTACGAGAGGGAACTCCAATAAAATTTCCATAATTTCTCCAGTGGGTCAGGGCATTAGTGTTTTCCTACATGCAACACATAAATGGAAAAAAATGTTCAGAGGCTAAGTTAAATCAAAGTTTTACTAGAGAGGCTTGTCTGTTAGAGATTTAGCTGAGCCCTTAGGTTCTAGGCTAACTGGCATGATTGTAGAAATAGTCACTTCAGTGAAATTCGTACACTGTTGTAAATCCAATCAGAAAAAGAAGACAACAGCTGATTTCACAGAAAATTTGCCTAATTTTATTCTTCAAAATGAGTTTATCCTTTAAAAAAGTAACATCACTTCTGTTGTTCACCAAAAAAAAAAAACCACAAAAAACTAAACAACGTTAAAAGAGAAACATTCTGCATACATTCCAAACTCTGTTTTGTTGCAAAACTTGTATAATATGAACTTGTATAACTTGAGGACTTGTATAATACGAAGGTTACAACAATCACTGGCAGAAGTACTCAAATTTGGGATTCAGGATAGACTGCACAGATACCAGACTGCAGACCCCATGCCACCCTTCGAGGAAGAAACACCAGTGAAGGAGTCTGCTACGGCTAAAACACTGAGAATTGGAAAAGCAAATCACTGAAGAGTTTTAAGAAGTAGTAAGTGCAGTTTAGCAGAGAAACTTTGGGCCCAGGAGACACACAACACAACTCTCTAGAAGATAAAGTCCAGCCACCAGCAGACACCCACAGCAGTGTTATTGTGTGCTGAATTAACTGTATTAATTGTTTTATCATTAATTGTTAGTGTGTGCTGAATTAAGTTTTCTTTCCTGCGTCCTGCCAGGTGGTACCTCAGACTTAACTTTGCAGTTAGATTTAAGGCTACATTTTCCTGGTTGCAGTATTAAAATACTTTTACCATCTCCAACTTACAGATGTATTTGTCTTGGGTGAAATTATTCAATGTTGCCTTCTAATTACAGACATAGCCCTCTCCCATCTCACCGAAGGAATTAAAACGGCAGTGTCTTTCTTTACCCACTGAACCGTTTAGCAAAGCTATTAAATTGCAATCCAGGAATAATGCAAACTTACTGATTTCAGCTGGATTTGGTTTTGCTTTGGCTAGCTGTCCTGTAACTGTTATTGAAAGTGGCTGAACTTTGGTAAAATACTCTCACTTCACCGCCATTAAAGGAAGAGAAGCTCGGAGGACTTGGCTACATTACCAGTCACGCAGCCTGCAAGGCTGTCCCTCAGCGCTTGTTGTGCAGTGCTAGGTCTCCCCTTGGGACCCAGAGCTCTGTCACCCTCACTCCCTTTCCAGAGCACTAAAGATGAGAGGTGGAATCTGGTCCAGCCTTGTAATAAAGAGGATTCTTTTTTCTCTGGCCATAGCTCTCCGCTCGACTCAGCTGCGCAACTTTCCAAAGCAGTAACGTGACCTGCCAAGGTACAACACTGGCGGCTGGGCTTGTGTTGTACACTCGGTGCTACAACTCCATCCTCCAGTCTGAGTGTACCAGCTGGATGACAAGGACCCAGCTAAATGTTGCTCATCCCGTTTTTGGAGGCTCCAGAGCAACACTAAGAGTTTGCATTTTACTAGTTTTTCTCTGCCAGGAGAAGGCTTGAGCCCCAGATGAAGAAATCCTGTTATCACAGGTCATGAGCAGTTTGACAGACAGGCATTCTCCTACAGAGAATCTAGGTATTAATGCTAGCATATTAAAAAAAAGAAACCAAACCACAACAAACCCACACAAGACCTCAAAAGGAAAGAGAAAAAGGAAAAAGAAGAGGCATGCATGCTATGGAGAGATACACAACTCTTTCATGGTGAGACTAGCCAAGAAATTGACTGCAAAAAATCCAAGATCCATAACTTGGAAACATGGACTTGAAGAGTGGTTCTGGTTCCCTGAAAGCATATGGCACAGAGGGGAACACAGAGGTGGAGATCTGCATGCAGATTTTTGCTGTTTTGCCTCAATCTGTTTACCATTTGTGCTTTATGAAGGTAGAGAACATCTGTGCTAGAAATCTTACGCAGCACTTGTATCACCTCTGAAATGCTTTTGCATAAAACCTAAAGTTGCACTGAAGTTACTGGTAAGTTTGTGGGATGCTGTAAAAAGCTGAGTCTAGTGTCACTGGAATGCAAAGAGCCAGATCTCAGAAGAGAGTGATGGGCTGAAATTCTTTATACTTGCATTGTACACAGAGACCCAACGGTGAAGGCAATGTCTGCATTTGTTCCATCTAAGCAGGCAAAACGCTTTTAAATCCAGATTTCAATTTATAAAAGCATTGTTAATGCTGACTTTTAATTGCCACTAAGAACTGAATTTTAAGAAAGGGCAAAAATAAATAATTGTTGGTTTGCATGCTCCCCCGCATAACAAACATCCCAGTGCTCAGGCACCTCTCATCTTTAAAGCTGCTGGAGGCTGTTCACTCACCCTGGACACCTCTACCTGTCAGCCAACCCTCTCCTGAGTGTCCCCTTTTGCAGCATCTCCCCCAGAGCTGCTGAACAGAGGTATCCTGGGCAGGAAAACAGCTGCTAAGGTGCTGAGAGCAGTAAATCTTCCACGTTTTTCCTACCCACAGGTCACTTCCCACACATCTAAGCTGGATATTTTCAATTCCAATCCTCTGTCCCCATTTGAGAACATACCAGTAAATGGCTTAGTTAAAGTACAGCTCGTATTCGTGAAACTAATACGCAGGAAACGATGAATTAACAGCCCTTATCCAAAGTCCAGAAGCCTGTGCCTATCCTAATTTGTGGTGATCAATTATCTTCAGGGAACCTTTTAACACCATCTTCAGAACACCAGAAAGATAAGCAGATGCTTAAAGGTCCTAAACATGCAGGTGATTTAGAAGAGTAATGAGTCTTAGAAAGAAAATAGTGAAGCATTCACCAAAGAAGTATGGCTATTACATTTTTTAAAAATTTGTCACCATATAATACTTTTAATTCCATTTTAGAAAGACTCTCTGAAGTGTCAAAGTAATTTGACTACCCATTAGCTGTCTCTTAAGCTTGTAATCGAGTTCTAACCATAAAATATGATTATATGCTGTATGAAGTTCATCAGACCAATTTCAAAGTGCCAGAAATAACCTTTAGCATGATTTAAATAGCACCGGCATGAACCTTTGCAGGCAGTGCCATTGGCTTTCAAATACGTTCAGAAGAGTTGAGAGGCAGCATCCGTTACTGTATTTTTTTATTGTCATGGAAGGAAGTTGTAGTAATAGTTACTCTAAACTGACAACATTTTTCTGCTCTTATTCTAGCCAGAGTAAGGAACTCCATTTGAAATGCATTCTTTCAAAAAAATATTCATTTCTGAACAAAAAAAGCCTTTAAAATGAACAACTTCTCACACTCATATTGATAGATGGGCTATTTCTCATCTGAAAGCAATACATCTATCGTATGTACCTGACATACGATAAAGAAAATATTTTGTTGAGGTTCATGATACCATGTGTGGGAATTCAGGGGTGGTTTAAGATGCTGGTGGTGTGCACAGTGTTACTGCAACTGCTGTCTAGATACCTACAAAATTCCATTAACAATTTCCATCCATAGATTTCAGCTCTTAATTTATTTATTACTTTTGTGAGGTAAGGACATGTCAGCCGCGATTTGAGGCTAGGAAATTAGGGATAAAGAGCAACTTACATAGGTCAACGAAGAAACCTGTGGAATTAAACCACCTCTAGAGTCCCACGTCAATAGCTATAACCGCAAGATTGTCAACACCAGCCCACATTTCAGGTCACTCTGATTATTCCACTTGGTTCCCTCTCTTATGATGATGCTCTTCAGTGATGGACCTCACGCAGAAGTGTTGAACGTTTCGCACCCAGCTGCCCACGTAGCTGTTCTACAAAACCAGACTGCTTCCTAATGTGCGTTCAGTGAACAAGAGGAGACATGCAAACAAGTTCTCGATCTGTTGAACAGCCTGCAGCTTAGTGCAGACCGTTCTTTCAGGCACAATTTAGACAAGACAACCTTACTGCTAAAATAGATACTAAGAGTCTTCATGCAAGAGATGGGTATGGGTAAGCATACATACATACAGCCCACTAGCCGTACTTATTTACTGTAAGCATGGGTTTACATCTGGTGTTACGCGTGTAAAGAGCTCCGCCTTTAAAAAATGTGTCTCAGAGTAGAAATGTCTTTATGATATTACTAAAGAGAAGTTTCACTTACTGGTCTTGGTAAACTGTACTGATACATTTCTGGTCTGTATGTGGGTACCCACTGTACCCCCCCTCTAGGTCGGGTCATGGTACCAGGAGCACTGGTCACAACCTCCGAGTAGGGCAAGTGCGGTGCTGAGCTGTACGCCTCCTGCCTGCTCTGTCCTCCGTGGCCTGCAGAGGCCAGGCTGAAAGCCTCTTCCAAGAGCATATGCATCTGCTGACGAACCTCATCAATGGAGGGCTGAGAACTTAAAGTTGAGGTCTCCGAGTGGCCTTTGGCCTGTCGGGACCTGGTGTAACTCCGAGGCTCGTTGACACGGTCAACATTTGTTTCTTCTATAATTTCAGGCTCAGTCTGTTGGATGGAATAAAAGCATGTATATGTAAAAAGATTTACAAGACTGTATTTGTGCTGCTTCATACAAAACATTCTCAAACACAGATGTAACACATACAAAGTCAGGAATTGTGACAATATAGACGCATGACAAGTATTGGAAAGGAGCGATATGATGGAGGCAAGTATAATAGGAGGGAGTCAAAGACCCATTCATGTCCTCCATTGTTTGCTGCTAAAACTAGCAAGGACACTAGCAGAGACATTCTGTAGCAGATTAAATTGTCAATGATTCACTTAAAAACAACTAGAATTAACGTTTAAATTCTTTTCTTAGTTGTTATCAATGGGAGTACAACTGTGCCAGGAGAAGTATGGCACCCTAAATAGTACCATCACTATGAAGGACCCGTTACAAGGGACGGCTTGTTACAGCTACAGGGACTGAAATTCTTTTGTCCTTTCTCACACATTAAGATTTCAGAAGAATTAAAGTTTAGGAGTTTTCCGTGAACTTTCTAACCCAGCGAGGACCGCTAATGGCACCGCAAACTAGGTCCTGTCCCTTGCAGAAAATATCCTGATCTCAGTCATCTCTGCTCAGTCACCTTACCTAGCCACCTAACAGTAGCTACACAGAAATTTACCCAAAACTAACGTGAAAACAGTGAATGAAGCAAGTACTCTAACAAGCAGATAGTTCTCGTGCCGCTTAACTTGAAGGGTTTCTCCTAGGGTAATTCCTTCTGTACAGATAAGTACAAACAGAAATAGGCCCCCCGAATTTTTTGCCTGTAACTCCAAGACAGAAAAAAACATCATATTATAAGAACTTGACAGCGAAATACCTAACTTCATCTATCTTCTGTAAGATTAGTTTCACAGGCTATAGTTTTTAAAAAATACATGTTAAACAGGCAATCTGAAAAAGCAACCAATTTCTAATTCTTTAAATATCAGTAAAATAAATTCAAGATGCTAGGGTAACTGGAATGAAGAATAGGTATGTACCTCCTTCTACATGTAGCATGTGGTTAGAACTGTGTCAGCATTTAAAATAGCCACAAATGACAGAACACAACATGGTATTCTTACTGAAAATGCCAGTACTGCCCTGATAATTTACGTGAGTGCTCTGTAGCTCCTGCTATGGCATACTTCCCCCCCCCCACCCCACCCCCCCCCCCCCCATGTAATAGTGCAATAGCTTTCTATATACCTGACTAGGTAAACAACTGTGCCCTCAACATTTTGCAAGCTCTGCATGGTCATATATATTATAGGACAATCATAGTACATATTTCTTTATCTGCAGAGTCCAATATCAAACTGACTTTCTTCTTCTCTTAGGAGCCATTCAGAGAAGAGTTACATGGTTTGCCTAAAAACTAACAATAAATTTAAATAAAATATCTTAATTTGTTTTCTCTCTTAGCTGTTATAACTAAAGCTTTATTCTGTATTCCATTACAATACAACAATAAAAAAGGAAAATGCAAGCAGTAATTAATCATTTGAATATTTAATTATAACTTATACATTTATATTTATACAGTATATTATCTAAATTCAAAACCACAAACGCAGCTTTAGGTTTCTTAAGTGGTAAACACATCAGATTGGGGGAGGAACAACGTAATGGCACAAAGTTATCTTAAACTGAAAAACTTTGTAGGAAATCTTCAACAATCTTCCCTTTATTTTCTTCCTGCATTTTGATTCCACTATTATCTGTGTTGTTACATGGTACAGTAAATAAAAATCAGGTAAATTTTAGAAGCCTGACTATAAAACGCAAGTAGTTTGTATAAGTGCAACCGAAGAGCCTCTGAAATCATACTGTCCCAACTGAATGATTAATAACCATGGCTCTACTATTTCCTCATGACTATAAAAATATCAGTGAATGGAATCCCACAAGAGACCTACCAGTACCCAACACTGAAATAAATCAGGTTCTCTACTACAACACCCTTGGTAAAGCCATTAGACCTCTACAGAATGTCTAAAATATATCGTATGAATAAAGGATGCATATTAGCAGTCAACATTAAGTCAGCATTGATTTATCAATATAAACATTGGCATGAAGATTTTGGAGGAGGCTGGTGACCATCACTTTTCCTTAAGTTTTAAAATTTATTTCAATTCATCCTATCACTTTCTAATGTATGCCATTTGCCTTCCTATAAATTGAAACATGTAAGTATCATAAATAGATGCCATTATACATTAATGTTACCATTATAAATATCTGGATATTGTTCATACACCATTACTGTATAATACAAGGAACTGGAATTACATGAAGAAGGAAAAGAAAGTCCTGTCCAGAGAGGCAGACTTCATACGCTTCTGGCATAACTCTGCTGCTGCAACTATATCAGTAAAATTCTTCATGTGAACATTGATCCATAAGCTTTTTGAGGAGTTGCATTAGTTTAACTATATAGATATAGTTATACCAGTAAATTCTTTTGATTATTGATCTCTTAGATATGTATAATAAGGTCATTTTCTTCCTTTTACACCAAAACCAGCCTGAATATTTTCTGCCCTAGAATAAAGCTCAATAGCAGTCTAGAGGTTCTAGACTCTTTCCTTATAGCATTTGCTGTACTTACCGTTGTCTGTGAACGTGTTGGAAATAACAGACATGTTAATAAAGTCTCCTTAATCTACTTGCTAGGTGATGATACTAAACCCTGTTGGGATTATTTAAAATTGAAAGATAGGTACTGTTCAATGATAATCCATTCCTAAAAGATGCTATAAAGGCAAATAATAGAACATCAAACAGTAGCATGTACGCGCCAAAATAATACAAAAAGCTACATATTCTATACAGACAGGTATGTAACTACTGACCTCCTATCCTGACCAATTTTTAGCTCTGAGAAACAGAATGATGATTCAGAGAAATATCATAAAAAATATCATTATGGGGACTGAAATATTTTTAGAAAACCATAACCAAAATATTAGAAAGGGGAACCATGTTTTAAAAAAAAGATAGTATGGAATGGCAGATTTCTGAGCTCTTACTTCTGTCTCCTATTTAAAGGACAAGACAAAATCAGGCAGATCATAAACTCTCAGGATATGGTTGTGCATATCAGTCTAGCAGTCCTTAAGGGGTTTTCTTCAAGAATCTGGGGATATTAGTCTCTTTTCTTTAAAAAAAAAAAGAAAAAAAAAGGCAAGCATTTCTCATGATTGGGAAGATAAAACTCAACAAATAACTTGGGCTTACTGGTAACAGCATAAAAATTCATCGATGGGACTTGTTGCTAAATTATCTGAGAGGAAGATAGCAAGAGTCCAAGAAAGCTGGAACCTTTAGAACGACAAAGCAGATCTCAAAAAATGGTACAACACACAAAAAAGAAGGAACAGAAGATTCAGCATAAACCCACCCCTTTTTCAGAGCCCTTTTTCACAGGTCAGATTTACAGAGGTGTTTAGTCGCACCACTAGTGAGATCCATATGAATTCCAGGAATAAATATACATATAAGTGCCTGCCTGTGGGTATCCTGGGAGACCAAGCCTGTCAGACGCTCGGCACAGCTCTGAGGAACCTCAAACAGGAGCAAGGGAAGCCAGCCCACGCTGCAAGCTGAGGCTTGGCAACTAAATTTCAGTATCTTCTCCTGTTTTCCCCTGGCATTTTTCTGCTTTCAGATGGGAAATACACTCAGAAGAGTTGCACTGCAGTGAATCTGCACTGCATCGGTCAAAAGGCATTTTATGTAACTTATCAGTAAAAAAAGACTGTGCCAGAGACAGCTCGCCCAACCGCAACCTTGTGTGTGATGTGCACAGATCTCAGAGTTTAGCCTTACTTTTAAGACATTTCAGAATCTTCATGAGCTCATTAATCTATTTTCAAGGTTTTCATCAAATTTTGTTTAAAATACATTTTATATCTAGTATACACAATATATTAAAATATATTTTTAAAATCTTCTGCTAACTACTTATGCCATAGTAATTTTGAACTAACAGCAGGAGGCCATGCCTGCTCCCAGGATGTTTTCAACATTCATTTCTGGAAAATATCACCTATGAAAAATGACCCTTTATTAGCATACTAAAAAAACTCTTCCCTTCTTGAAACACATGTTTTTCAAGATAGTGAGGGAAGGATAGCTTGACAATGTTTTTATTATCTAAGAAAGTTCCAATAATAAAGAAAACATTTAAGTGGGGTAAAAGAAAAAAAATCTTTTTGCAAAATGCAAAACCTATTTTAACAGGTTATACCATTCTTTTTCCAGGCTACAGTGATGTATTCTAATGCCCCAGAAAGCAGTGAACCATTCATCCCACTTACATGGCACAACATGACTCATGCAATCTGATGGGAAGTGTCCAAATGCAGGAAATCATTTAAGAAATCTGACACCTAGAACATGCCCCGAAGAATTCTGAAAAAGATTTAAACTTCCCTGAACACATCCCCTCACCTTGGTACATTATTTCACCTTGCTAAAACACATCCCTGGCAGCTGGGAGGGTTGACAATTAAGCCCCCCACAAAATGTGATTTTTCTGTGCTAAGGCTCATAGAAAATCACGAGGTGATTGGTGACAGCCAACATGCATTCGCTAAGGGCAAATCATGCCTGGAAAATTTGGTGGCTTTCTACAATGGGGTTACAGTGTTGGTGGATAAGTGAAGAGCACCTGACGTCATCTACCTGGACATGCAGAAAGCATCTGACACTGTCCCGCACAACATCCTTGTCTCTAAATTGGAGAGACATGGATTTGGTGGGTGGACCACTTGGTGGATAAGGAATTTGCTGGGTGGTCGCACTCAAAGAGTTGCGGTCAGCGGCTCGATGCCTAAGGGCAGACCACTGACGAGTGGCATTCCTCAGGGGTCAGTATTGGGACTGGCACTGTTTAACATCTTTGTTGGTGACATGGACAGTGGGATTGAGTGCACCCCCAGCAAGTTTGATGATGACACCAAGCTGCGTGGTGCGATCGACATGCTGGAGGGAAGGAAAGCCATCCAGAGGGACCTTGACAGGCTTGAGAGGTGAACCTCACAAATTTCAACAAGGCCAAGTGCAAGATCCTGCACATGGGTCATGCAATCCCCAGCACAAATACAGGCTGGGCAGCGAATGGACTGAGAACAGCCCTGAGGAGAAGGACTTGGGGGTGTTGGTTGATGAGAACAGGACAATGTGCACTTACAGCCCAGAAAGCAAACGGTATCCTGAGCTGCATCAAAAGAAGCGTGACCAGCAGGTCGAGGGAGGTGATTCTCCCCCCTGCTCTTGTGACACCCCACCTGGAGTACTGTGTTCAGCTCTGGGGCCCCCAACATAAGAAGGACATGGACCTGTTGGAGTGAGTCCAGAGGAGGGCCATGAAGATGATCAGAGGGTTGAAGCACCTCTCCTGTGAAGACAGGCTGAGAGAGTTGGGGTTGTTCTGCATGGAGAAGAGAAGGCTCTGGGGAGACCCTATAGCAACCTTCCAGTACTTAAAGGGGGCTTATAAGAAAGCTGGAGAAGGACTTTTTACAAGGGCTTGTAGTGATAAGACAAGGGGCAATGGCTTTAAATGGAAAGAGGGTAGATTTAGATTAGGTATAAGGAAGAAATTCTTCACTGTGGGTGTGCTGAGGCACTGGAATAGGTTGCCCCAGAGAAGTTGTGGATGCCCCATTCCTGGAAGTGTTCAAAGCCAGGTTGGGTGGGGCTTTGAGCAAACTGGTCTAGTGCAAGGTGACCCTGCCCACGGAAGGGGGGTTGGAACTAGGCAATCTTTAAGGTCCCTTCCAACCCAGACTATTCTATGATTCTATAAAAATGCTTGTCATCTACAGAGTTTAGAGGATGAACAACCACCAGATGAACTTCCTTGTTTTCCAGAATGGTTTAGACCTTTTCCAGGGATTGATCTTCAGGGATGGCTGAGCTACAGCATTTTGTACATGGGGCAAAGGATTGAAAAATTCTGCATTACCCCAGTGTGGGGACTGTTTTTATCCTCATTCTGGGTGCACACAGTGTCAGCTTGCTCCCGGTGTATGTTCAGGCTGCACAAGACAACTAATCCAGCCTTGTGTTGGCCATGTGAGTTCTTTGGACCACAAATCAGCATCTGCCCTGGCTGGTCTTGACATTTACCTATTCAAAACTTTCCCAGTTCTGATGTAGTAAGGGGACAATATCTGTTCCTAGGGGATTTCCACAAAAAACCTGACATCTGGACTTAAGTGAAATACCCAGAATTTGGTTGCCCATTCTTCTGAATCAAGAGAGCAGCATCGGGGGTACAGAACAGAGGTTTTCAATTGCAATGCAAATAAGCTCAGTATCATTTAAGTGGCTGCATAATTAGAAGTATCTCAATTCAAAATTTAATATTTTGGCAAATAATGAGATTCAGGGCAAATGCTTTGTTTGCATTTCGGATGGTAAAATGATGTACAGCCATAAAGTATGTGAAAGTACTCTGAGTATCCTGAGCCTTTTTCAGGATGCCGAGTGCACATAAAATGCTGTAACATTAAATACCCAATGTCACGCTGGCTTGTAGCTTATCAGTAGTTCCCTAGTTTGAGGAGTAAGTTAAGACTTTGCTGAGCAAATTTCTCTGTTTATCTGATCTGTATCTGATAAACTTACGTCATATCCAGAGTTACGGATTCCACGTCTCGGTCTTTCTCGAGTAACGAGAAGATCCATCTCAGTTTCTCCTGGACTAGGACTGTTCAAAGACTGCCTGCTTCTGTATACTGAGTTCTTCATCGGTTGCCTAGAAAACATGAAACAAGAAAACAGTAAAACGAAAAGAAAACAAAAAAAAATGACAGGCAGCAGTTTTCAATATTCACCTTTATTCTAAAATGATGAGGTTCATAAAAATGCCACTTTATTATAGGATATTCTTTCTCTGTATATGGAAGTGCTAGAAATCAGTAACTTTATTAAGAGAGCATTAATTTTGCTTCCTGTTAAAGAAAATAAAGCTACATAAAAAAATATGGACATCATATGTGGGAGCTTATCAGATGAAATATGTCCCAAGAAGATATCAGAACCCTTTTAACCTCAGCTGATATGATTCAAATTCATAAAAAATAAATAGGTGCTATTATCAAAAAATAATAGGACCTTCCACACACTCAGATGGGGAGCAGAGATTTTGGCTGCTGACCCTGAGCCACGAGAGAGAAGCAGAATAACGCTCCACTGAAACAAACACCCAGGAAAGTGAATGGGAAGAGAGACAGGAGTGGGAGGCAACTGCCTGCAAGATGTTCTTTATAAATAGCCAGTTTGGTAACTGGCCACAACTTTACCAGAGAGCTTTACCTCCTGGAATTAAACCGCTTCCAGCATAACTCTGAGCAGCACCGGGCAAAGGCGTCCCCAGGCATTGAGCTTTCGCCACCATGTGCACAGAAGCAAGGGGAAACAGAGGTACTAGAAGGACAGCGTGTAAGTCAATACCCAAAATATCCTGTAATCTTTCCAACGCAACCATTTCGTTCCTTGTTACTGGTTATACAAACACAAATATAGCATTTCTCTGTAAGATACAGAACATATCTGTAAAGCCTTCAGGAGTGGTTGCCAAACCCTGATACAGGAACTTCACGCTTCATCAAGCTGCATCTTTTAAGAAGGTTACCTCTAAACCAAAAAACGTTTTGGAGATGCTGTTCTCATGGTGTATCTGACCATTAGTCATTTTCTTGAAGAGCTGAAAGCAGAAATTTGAAAGGGGGGGAGAAGGCTGTGGTGACTTTTCCATCATTCTCCTGTGCTTGCCAGGTAACGTGAGAGAAAATGCAACCCTGTGCTAAGATTTGACTGAAGAGCAAAAAAAGCTTGCATTAAAGTGAGCCTGTGGCTGAGCGCTCTATTTGAGTTAATAAGCGGTGTAAAAATAAGATCTGTAGAGTTTTAAATGTGTGGGACTGCCTGAACTGCTTACAAAGAGGTCTCCTACAATAGTTGAGATCTTGAAAAGCCTAGGACCACTTCTGTAAGTGACCTAAGAAGAAACCATGTTAAGGAGCCTCTGCTCCATTCAGCAATTACAAAGACTTCATGGTTTAACCTCTCAAGAACTATCAATGAAATGAAAAGACAACACAGTTTGAATGGACTCACTGATAAGAGGCAGTAAATCTTCAGCTGTTACAGATTTGGTTAACAGAACTTTTTGCCTTGACAGACTAGAGCAGAAGAAACTGGTTTGCAGAAATCCAGGAAGATGGGCATTTACATGACCAGATAGGAAAAAAAGGTAGGACAAAAAAATATCAACTTCACGCCTCTGATTAGACTAAGTACTCAAGCATTGACTTAATTTAAAGGTAACTTTCAAAAACTTCTGTGTGACTTTTAGTCACAAATCTCCATGCACATATTTGAAAGTCCCAAAGGCAGTGCCAAAGCAGAAGACAAGCAGAGATTTTGGAATAAATTTCCCCTATAAATATAATATTGAATAAATTAAAGTGCCTTATCTTGTTTCTTCCAAGACTATACTGCCAGTGTCACCAGAAAACGTGGGGAACTAAGTTATGCTGAGGCTAATCAGATCTGACAATCTGACAAGTTCCTACATTAAAGGTCTCTAAATTCTCAGACATGTTTTACAGTAGGTTCATAAATACTTAGCTGGTGCAGTTGTGGTGTATTTTCCAAGGTATTCAAATATACAGCGCTCTAATAAATGCAGATTCTTGACCTGATTACAAACTGTTAAAGAAAGACCCAGAATAGCGTGTATCATCAGTAGGCTCTAAAAAATTGCCTTGAGATTGCCAATTAGCTCATTTAAGGAAGTTTTACTAATGAGAAAGGGGGCATGAACGCTGACAATTGGCATTCAAATGGGTTAGTGCCTTCTGGGAACACAACTGGAACAATTTAAAACATGAACTTGATGCTACAGAAGACTCAAAGGTACTAAGAGCACAAAGCTGTTTGGTTTTGAACAAATCAAATTATTTAGTGGCAATGTTTTGTAAATCACTTTTAAATGCAATTTAAAACAAATCCAAAATATAAGGGTGATCTTGAATAATGTAATCAACTGCATCTTTATTTTCACATATATTTTGGAAATGCTGTAATAATGTGATTTAAGTTAGTGGAATATGCACAGAACAGAAAAGAGTGGAATAGACCTTTCCCCTGGAAACTCTGAAATCTTTGACATACTCTGAAGCGATATTATTTAAAAAAAAAAAAAAATCAAATTTTTTGTTTTTAATTGCTGCAAATATAATGATTCAAACAATGATACAAAGCAGAAAAGGTTAGAAATCAAATCTTTTCTATTTTATGCTAACCTAGACTGATTTAAAAGCAAATTTTATTACAGAAATACAACTGTATTGATTCATTTATCAATAACCAAAATGCACATTACTTTGAATAATACTATGCGAGATTTTAGCCATCTTACTTTTAGTTCAAAAAATGAAGGCAATAATGCTGTCATGTGTGTTGCAGCATATCAAATTCAGTTCCAGGTCTTAGTTTGGAAATTTTAGCATAGACTTTGGAGTTGGTTTGCTTGCAAACATCTGCAACATCTGTGAAGCTCTTTAAATGCTTTGTGTCTTTACAGAAAGTGCATCATAAATGGTTATTCCTTCGTCCTAAGTAGGGATATAGGCTATATATTTAACAAGTATATATTTATAAGTAATATTTATATATTACTTTATATTTGTACATTTATATTTATAAATTTATATCTAAATCAAATTTATATTAATCAATTTATATATTTACAAGTAATATTTAACAAGTAAATCCAGCAGTCAGCCTTTTATAGTTCAGCTACACAATGAAATCATTCCCTTACAGCTGTATACCTGCCTTCAAGCAGTTTCTATCATGCCAGTGATCACTATCTTAAACAGACTATGACAGGTTTACACAACACATTAGAAAGCATGCTGAAAAAATATATTCCGGGAGCTTTCAGCACACTGGCACATTAACAAACAAACATCAGTGTATTTAACAAAAAAGCAGATGGTTAGCATTAAAGCTTCACGTGTGATGTTTTAAACATTTCCTACATGGCATGTGACACATAATAAATATCCAAAGCAATGCCTTGGTGCTTCACTACATGTACAGCGCATATCAACGTTCTCAAGTTTCATTTATGTCTTCTGGGTAGACTGCGCAGACAGAGCAGGACTCCTGCGTCCCGAGCGTTCAGTATCTTAGCCTTTCGGTGCATTTGGAGCATTTTATTCGTCCTCCACTGGAAAACTGCTCAAGGAAATGATGCCCCAGACCCTCCAGCAAGGATATGACACACAGTTAAGTCAGCATCTTTTTTCTTCATTGACCAGTACAAGCCTGGGAAACAGCCCATTAAGGGCAGTATCCCTCAATCATTTAACTCTAGACCTATAGAAGTTCATCTGATCACAGTTTTTGCCCACGTTCTGAGCCAAGACTGCATTTATCATTCCCATTACAGCCTTTTTCATCTTTGTGCCCCAAGTGTCACTGCTGAAGTTGCACTGTGTGCAAAGACTGTGCCGCCACCAATGCTTTGATTGCAGTCATGATTTAGGCTCCTAGGAAAGCTTTGGTCTGAACTTTCCAGGGGATGGTATGCAAGATTGCACCCTCAGGCATAAGACCACTTCCAGAGGAACTGTACTTCAGTATCCCTTTTTCTCTCAGGGATCAACTCCTGCTGGTCCCCGACTGCAGTAAGAACCAGAGCCCTCGTGGTGCGAGGTGCAGCGGCAAACACTCTCTTATACTCCTTCACACCTCCACCACCCCTAAGGAAGAGGAATCTGCATACTGTGCCATTCTTGGGGTAGGACTGGTGTGATCTCCTCTTTCCAATGTGTCAACTTGTGCTTCAGAGAGCACCAGCAACAGAGCAGGTCCACCCACCCACACACAGCAGGCTCAGGCAGAATCAGCATGTACGCTCCCACCCCATTTCTAAAACGGGAATATGAATACTACTGGTGTGCCATCTTCAAAGGACAGCAAAGTGTTAACCAAACGTTAGTACTGTTATACAATATGCCAGCTTCACATCACAGATGAGCAGAGTGTGACTTTGTCTGTTAAAGGCACAGCAAGATCACCGATTACAGGGACACACACGCCCTTACAGATACCATCCCTGCAGGGCTTACTGAAATACGTGGACAACGTACCCGTTGTGTTACCTTATGCCTACTGCAATAGTTATATTCAGACAAAAATAATGACAAAACAGTAACACCACTGAACTTTGGAATCAATGACTTCAGATGTCAACTTTCTGGCTTAAGGCCATTCTCATTATTACCAAAAAAATTACTACCAACTTTTCTATTTACCTTACTTAGAAAATTACTCACAAGAACTTGCAAAAGTCTCTTCCCTTATTTTTTTGTCTTTCCATGTCTTTCTTTTTAACCCCACTGCCATTTTACCAGATAATATACTTTCATAATTAATCATGATTATATGAATTTTCTTCATAAAGTAGGAGGGACCAGCTGACCATACAGCAAACAGCTGGATCATTTAGAATGGCCCCTTTGATCGCCTACAGCCTCTGGAAATCAACTTTCCTCCCAGATGAAGAACTGTATACAAAAAGTCTCACCTGTTCTTAGGCTCAGCAAATGGAGATGAGACATCTGGATCCAAAATGTGGTCAAGTTCTTTCTGGTTTTTTTCATACATCCTTTTTCTCTCTGTCAGCCCCTTGTTGTTATCAACCTGTGGGAAATCATAGTACCCCTTCCTCTTGGCTTTCAAGCGCAGCTTGTTGCGGTAATGTTCTATATCGGACTTCTGCTTCAAAGCCTTGTTCACCTAAAAGGCAAAAGGACATTTAAAGGATAGTGCTGGGCTGGCTACTTCCAAACCGTATTGTTGGAGCGCGCTTGATGCGCTGCATGTGTCATTTTACAGAGTGCTTTTTGTACCACACCATGCCATCTGTAAGCAGTGAGGAACTGCAAGTGAACAGAGTCGCTGCATTTTTATGGCTTGGCAGATGGTTAAATAATTTTAGCCTAAAAACTATGTACCATCACAACAGTGACTCACTGATACACCCACTGAAGAAAAGCACCCATGATGTTAGCCAATTGTTGTGACCCAATGCCATGCTTGCTTTTGGGCACCATGGGGAGAGCTCACCAATGAAAACTCTTCTAGGGTCCCATAAGTACAGAGACATCGTCCCTCACTACACAAAACCTTAAATAAGTCATTACTGGTGGCTGGGGAAGAATCCAGTGAAATATCATTGTGTGTTCCTCTTATTTATATGCTTCCTTACAAACCTGGTACAGGACTCTGTCAGAGACAAGATCCTTAAATAAATGGGTGTTTGTTTGGTGTGACCTAGTACAGGTCAGCTTCCATGGATGCTCCTAAGTATGAGGAAGTTTTTCCTCCTGCTTCAAATTGTCTGTTACATCGAAATGAGCAATTTACTTGGGCTTTGTGCTTCCAGAGTCAAATTCTACAGTCTTCTCACAAATTTCAAGAAATGTATGTACAAGACAGCACATAGCACCAGGAGTGCCATCCTGTTGACTTACAGAAAACCTAAATCTAAATAAGCCTTTCTCTGAGTTTGGAAACTACGTGGTATGTCAGGGCTTAAAATACAAGTATGAAATGGAACACGACAGACTGGTCTAATCCAGGCCCACATGGGAAGCCTGACAACACTGTCTTTTACTGTGTCTTTTGCAGCAGCCTTCCCTGATGCTTTTAAGCAGCCTCAGGAAGAATCTGGCTGATCTTTAAATGACCATTGCAGTGCAAGTTTGCAAACAAAACACCTCTCTGGCTTGTCCCCATCATGTTTAACAACTGTATAAAAGCCTCAGTCCTTCGTAACTAGACCACTCTTGACTAAATCTACATAAAACCATGAATAATCATCCAAGTGTTGGAGCCAAAGCATGGGTTTTGGCCAGCGCCTGGATCAGACGCTTGTGCCAGCCCACTTTGTTCTCAGGAAACACCTGCACCCTCTGTGCACAGGCTGGCGTGCAGACTGGGCAAAGCCATGGGCCCGTTCCACCCTTCCTTGCTCTGAATGAGTTCTATTGCTCGGTATAGAAAGATCAGCTTGGGCCCCAGATGATCTATATACATTTCCATGTTCAGCCACAGAATTCATGTAGACAAAGATCTTACTCTGCTCTCTGCCTTCATTACTCATCTTGTTAAAACTAACGCAAAAGGAGAGAAGGATATTGAGAAGGTAGGAATGTAGACAATCGCCTCTTCCAAGGTCACGTGCATTCACAGGTGCATTGCCAACGAGCAGATCTTAAATTCTCAGGCCTCCAAGCCCACAATACTAATGGGACTTTATATAGCATCGGGTGAAAAGCTCCTACAAGTCTTCAACTCTAACAGGCTTAAGATTGTTCCACCTGTGGATGTAGCCAAGGAAACAGCTGGAGACATTATCAGACAGTCCTTACCTCTCCATTAATGATGGCAGATTCCTGGCTCCTATCTGATGCAGCATGAACAGCAGGGAGTGCCACGGGTTTGATAGCTATCAGCTGTACTGATCCAGAAGAGGTGTCGAAGGGGTCAATGGCAGATTTGGCAATGTTATCAAAGAGAATGCCTCCTTCCTCTTCATCACTTACGGGCACTAAAGCACATCAAACTTATTCAGCATAAAGACAGATATTTTTACTGCACGTTCAAGGTGAAATTCAGCAAGCACATGCTTTAGACTAATAATGTGCTCGGTACACTCGAGGAACAGACCTGGGAGACCTTTACACTGGAAAAAAATCCCATCAGGTTACAGATAACATTACGTATTGAAAGGATTATCTGACACTCCCCCAGAGAAGGTTGGTTTCCAATCTGCACTAATAAGATGTGCTTATTGCTTATTGGGGGGGGGGGGGGGGGGGGAGGAGGGGAGGCAGGCGAGGCTGGCACGCAGGGACCTGGCTAGAATGACACAGAAAATTGTATGAAAATGACAATGAAAGTCCAAGTACATCTTTTCCTAGGTTTCACATGGAAAAGACATTATATGCACACACACACACAAGTCTCTACATGTCAAGGCATCAGTGTCTTACACTGCAAGAGCATGGGCACTCTCAAAATTTCAAAAATAAACCTACTGATTTTAGCAAAAGTTATTAATACTAAAAATGCCATCTGTTAAAATGAAAGCTTGGCTTTTGTATGTTAAAGCATGCTTAAGACACTGATGGTGTCCAAGTTTATGTTATTTTTTTGCTTTGCAAAGCAGCACCTCAGGTGGCTGTAAAGTTAAACCATTAAAATTTCTTAAGAGATAGGAGAAGGCTTCTGAAAATCTTTGAAATTAAATGGCATGGTGAGGGATCTTTAGTTTTAGATTTCTATATAAATGGATAACACTTTCACATACAATTGGGCCCTTTCTCCTCAAATTTTTGTTTGTAAACCTACAGCACCTTGTCAGCTGTTGAATCTTAAACCTTTTATCCTCATCTTGCAAAAAAAGAATGACTCTAAATCATGAGCACAAATTCTTCAAAGAGATTCTTGCAAATATTTTTGAATAATTATGCTATTAGAGGGAAGAACATTTGCTCCATCTCCTAACTGACAGGAGCAGAGATCCTCTGCTAAAGAACAAAGTGGTCTGCTCTAAATTTATTTCCTCTGAAAATACACTCTGTTTTAATATTTAATCACTGCACAAATTACAATGGACTTGTATAAACTCAGCAGTTTAGACAGCCAGTGATTTTGGTAAGAAAATATTTGACAGTGGTAACATAAAATATGAACCCACTGAGTAAGCTTATTATCTTTCTGTCGGTACTCAGTGTGGACTGGAGTTGACACTACTTGAGCTTTTGAGAAATAGATGGGTGAAATCATTCTGTCATTAAATATTGTCCCTCCGGCTCCACAGAACTGTCCAAATATGATAGAGAAATCTTTAGTGGGTCTGAAATCCCCTTGTCGCTCCTGGGGCTGTTCAAACACTCTGAATTTGTATGCTCACCGGAGCAAGCAGATCACAAGCCTGGCTTGCCGAAATCAGCTGCCGGACTCCCGCTGACAACCAGGCTGCCAGGACACCACAGCAGCAAAATCAGATGAACAAAGAGATACTTGCCTGTCACAGACCGCACTGAACAGGAGGGCATTTACATTACAAGGAGTAGAAAAGTGAAGTATGGACGTTCTTCCCTCGGGGCATATTGAATCAGTTCAATTCTCAAGTAAGTCACCAGATGCAGTTCTGGAAGATGGGTGTTGTCTGCAACTCACCGCTGACACTGCCACGCTGCCCTAACAAGGTACCTCCATTGTGACACGACTATCTCCAAGAGAGAAAAAGTTTGTCTGAATTGTATTTTTCACCAACAAAGATGGTCTCTCATGATGATTACAGCTCAGGTGAGCCTGGATGATATCTCGTCAGCAGTCCAAGTACCAAGCAGCTGTGGAATTGCTTCTCTTGGCTGCCTGTCTCTGCAGTTGCCAAAACCAGGCATGCTCAAAAACCCTGGCTAATCATCAACTCGCGAAACGTGATGCTTTCCAAACATCCTCTGTGTAACCTACTTCAAGCAGAAGGCACCAAGAAGTGCAGCTGTGCTTCCACCCTAGTGTTTCAGAAGGACTGTTCTTGCTGAGACCTCGGCAGTGATCCCCAGGCACCCACAGAGAGCATGATTAGCTACAGATGCGTGGGTTGTCTCCTCAGACCTCATTTCAGGATCAGAAACCAAGAGTTTTGCTTAATTAAACGGAATTCCTCTGGTTCAAAGACTCATTAAAGAAAAGAAAAATAAAGGGTAAAGAGAATCAGGAATCACAGATGACAGCTACTTCTGATGTGGTACGCTAACACCGAAGAGCACCCTCAGTATATCAGCCCTCACATTTGTGAGCACATCTCCTGCATCTACTGCAGGGCTATTGGCACGGAAATAATAGCCAAATGGGACTAGAAGTGGGAAGTCTATTCCACCTCATCTTAGCGTTTGTTCATTAATTGGCATTTATAATATAAAAGTAGTTTTTTCCATTGCCCTTTTTTCACCGATGAGTGATGAAGAGAGCCTGTGATCTGCAGTTGCCGGCGTGCTGCTATAGTTTGTGTTGGCAGTGAAGCATAAGCAAGTACTGTCAGTATTTTAATATCTGCTCCTATCCATCCCTTCCCAAGAGAACTTACAACAAGCGTTTATAACGCGATTGAACCACAGCAACCTCTAAACTTTAAAAAACAAATCAAAGGGACCTCAGAGAAAAGTGGGAATCCTGGAGTGTTTCTTTCTGCTGTGCGTCCGGTCCCGGGCCAGCCCACCCATCTGAACGCCTCAGCTGGGAGAATGACCGACGGGCATGGGAAACTGCAGAAATCTGCCCAATTGGTCTTTATTGTCACACACAATAAGCACACTTGCTTATTATAATTAGCAACACAGATTTAAAGTGATGCTTTTAATTTCTGTTTTTAAACAGATGCATACCAACATTTTAATGGACTCATCGTTCTTCTACTCTTGCTTGCACCGTCTGCGTGCACACAATAGCAAGACTTCGAAGTTCAGTGGCAGAAAAGGCAAAAAACCACCTTAATCACCTACTTAACGGTAATTTCCCATCTCTGAAACATCTTGTGCTAGATATCTCATTCCACATGATCCATCGAGATTGAATTACTCCTCCTAATCTTCCTGTGCCTGAAGTACATGAAGATATATCCAAAGCAATCATTTATCCAGGTTCAGTGCCAACTGCAGTGAAGAACAGCATGGCACTGGGTTTTTGAAGAGCAAGACCACGGCTGAAGCTTTATCTCCACATCACTGCAGCTATTAGTAGACAAGATTTGCTAGATCAAAGCTGCTTCAGGGGCACCTGCCCCCTCGTTGGGTGCAGCTCTGCGCTACGCCCAGCCGGCGATGCCAGCAGGTGGTGCTACCCACTCGTGCCACTGGTCCTGCAGCCACTGGAGAAGGGGCTGTGGAACTGTAGCTCTGAACAGTTGAGAAACAATTAGATAAGTGGAATATTCTATTTTTATTTATTTATTAATTTACGTTTAAAAAAAAGAGTTTCACTTTTGTCAGCCTAAGATTTCAATATGAAGGGCCACACAAGATTTCTTCCCTCCTCTCTCTTTCCCCCCACCTTGTCTTCCCCCCTCCCAAATCAAAATACGTTGGAAGGAAGAAAAGGAGGACTGAAATACTTACCTGTAAAAAAAAAAAGAGTAAGGAAATCTAAATTACCTGCAGATCAGGTAACCTTACAGCAAAATACTTGAAACAAACATATGTGCTGTCCTGCTCAGAAGCAACCATTAGACCAATTTTGGAAGTACTCAGAAAAAGAATGACATAGATGGAAAAAAAACGTGTGAAGCCAAAACATGAGAAACTCACAAGCAGGTAGACGTGCTCTGCCTTTTCTTAGGTCATTCAATGAGGCATTAAGATTTTTCAAATTTTGTCTGAAGGGAATGCAAACATTATAGCCATACCTACAGCGGGCAATGAATTCTCCAAGAAACAGGAGGGCTTAAAATAATAGGAAAGAAAATAGACTATATTAAATGAAAATCGTAAGTTTGACAAAGAGCAAACTATGCCAGAGATCTAAAAGACTGTCTCCTTAGGAAAGAGCCTGTGTATGAGTATTCCAAACAGAAATCCTGAGTCCTGAATGTAAATTAATAATAGGGAAATAATTTTCATTTTAGAGAAAAATGTCTCTACATAGAAAAAAATTGGAAATTTTCTACATCATCTAAATCATTCAGTTTTTCAGCAGACTATCGCCAGAAAGGTATGAACAAGAGCTCTTAGCAATAAAGAAATGTATGCATCTGAAGGAGTTTATAAGCCTGTAAGTAAAACACAAGTTTCCTAACATTAGTATCTGAACTTACGCAGGACTGAAATACCTCTCCGAGATACCGCAGCGTAACAGAAAACATACCTGTGTGTACACACACACCCCTTCCAAAACACACCCAACTGTGAGACAGTGCAATTCTAAGCTCTTCACGAACAGCACAAACTTTATATTTTCAGAAAAGCGGCAGCTTACAGACTAATGGAAGCAGCTCATGATTCCTCCTGGGTATTATTTTCTCATACGCAAAGTCTGCTAAACGCCAGGCCACGTGTCTGAGGTGTTGCAGTCCTGGGTTTGCCTGGGATTCTGAAACAGGAGTTACCCGAGCAGGTTGTTTGAGATCTCTAAACTGACATTTGCAGGTTTTTTATGAAACTGTACACCTGAGGTGTCTACCTTTCTATTAGCTGCTTGCTTCATTCACTTTCTGCGAAGGTGTCTTGTCCTTATGGGCAGAAGCAAGGATATCTCGGTGGTTATGTCTTCTCCTCCAGCCACATCTGCCTTATCTGTTTAAACATCAAAGTCTTTCAAAAAGAAACCATGTGTATCACAAAGTTTGTAGAGAATCCATCAGCCCCTTTTCTTGTCTGGCACTTCTGTAACACCATCCTAGGCATGTTCAATAATTTAAAAAAAAATATTTAACTGAGAAGGATGATGACTATACAAAGCAGATAGGGAAGGCATGAGAACCTACAACAGAAGTCACTTCTTTAAGAAAGAAGTGCTCTATGAGTTTTAAAAAGCTTTGCAGAA